ACACATTTCCTTAATCTTTGAAGTAGGCACAATGGATTCCACAACTGGCATAGGCTTCTCAGGGTTAGCCCAAACCCTTCAAAATCTTTCTTAATTTCCATACTAATTCTCACCTTTTTACCACAGGGTTGGCACTAGAGCTTTCTTGGGGCCCATGGTCACTTATTTTCCAGAAAAACAGCACCGAAAACACTGTAATAATACGAAATATTCCGAGTGTATGCTTGGATGTTACCGCGGAGGCTGGCTGGTAAACAATGGGACGGGCGGCACATGTGAGGGCACATTGGACGCGTCTCGGACGAAAATCGGTGAGCGGGTTTTTAATCGGTATGCGCGGCAAAAATTTTGCGATAAAAGTAAGCGGTATGCGGAAAAATCGCTATGTGATGCCATCGTTATGCGGGGGTCCACTGTATATGGAGAAAAAGAGAGAGATTAAGAGAGTGGTGAAGCAATGTAAAAAGAGAGCAAATGAGAGAGTGGTTGAGATGTTATCAACAAATTTTGTTGAAAATAAGAAAAAGTTTTGGAGTGAGATAAACAAGTTAACGAAGCCTAAAGAACAAATGGATTTGTCAGTTAAAAATAGGAGAGGAGAGTTATTAAATGGAGAGTTAGAGGTATTGGGAAGATGGAGGGAATATTTTGAGGAATTGTTAAATGTTGATGAAGATAGGGAAGCTGTGATTTTGTGTATAGGGCAAGGAGGAATAACATCTTGTAGGAGTGAGGAAGAGCCAGTTGTGAGTGTGGGGGGAAGTTCGTGAGGCAGTAGGTAAAATGAAAGGGGGGTAAGGCAGCCGGGATTGATGGGATAAAGATAGAAATGTTAAAAGCAGGTGGGGATATAGTTTTGGAGTGGTTGGTGCAATTATTTAATAAATGTATGGAAGAGGGTAGGTACCTAGGGATTGGCAGAGAGCATGCATAGTTCCTTTGTATAAAGGCAAAGGGGACAAAAGAGAGTGCAAAAATTATAGGGGGATAAGTCTGTTGAGTATACTGGTAAAGTGTATGGTAGAGTTATTATTGAAAGAATTAAGAGTAAGACGGAGAATAGGATAGCAGATGAACAAGGAGGCTTTAGGAAGGTAGGGGGTGTGTGGACCAGGTGTTTACAGTGAAACATATAAGTGAACAGTATTTAGATAAGGATAAAGAGGTCTTTGTGGCATTTATGGATTTGGAAAAGGCATATGACAGGGTGGATAGGGGGGCAATGTGGCAGATGTTGCATGTGTATGGTGTGGGAGGTAGGTTACTGAAAGCAGTGAAGAGTTTTTACGAGGATAGTGAGGCTCAAGTTAGAGTATGTAGGAATAGAGGGAATTTTTTCCAGTAAAGTAGGCCTTAGACAAGGATGTGTGATGTCACGTGGTTGTTTAATATATTTATAGATGGGGTTGTAAGAGAAGTAAATGCGAGGGTCTTGGCAAGAGGCGTGGAGTAAAAGATAAAACAATCACACAAAGTGGGAGTTGTCACAGTTGCTCTTTGTGATGACACTGTGCTCTTGGGAGATTCTGAAGAGAAGCTGCAGAGATCGGTTGGATGAATTTGGTAGGGTGTGCAAAAGAAGAAAATTAAAAGTGAATACAGGAAAGAGTAAGGTAATGAGGATAACAAAAAGATTAGGTGATGAAAGATTGGATATCAGATTGGAGGGAGAGAGTATGGAGGAGGTGAATGTATTCAGATATTTGTTAGTGGACGTGTCAGCGGATGGGTCTATGAAAGATGAGGTGAATCATAGAATTGATGAGGGGAAAAGGGTGAGTGGTGCACTTAGGAGTCTGTGGAGACAAAGAACTTTGTCCTTGGAGGCAAAGAGGGGAATGTATGAGAGTTAGTTTTACCAATGCTCTTATATGGGTGCGAAGCATGGGTGATGAATGTTGCAGCGAGGAGAAGGCTGGAGGCAGTGGAGATGTCATGTCTGAGGGCAATGTGTGGTGTGAATATAATGCAGAGAATTCGTTAGTTTGGAAGTTAGGAGGAGGTGCGGGATTACCAAAATGTTGTCCAGAGGGCTGAGGAAGGGTTGTTGAGGTGGTTCGGACATGTTAGAGAGAAATGGAGCGAAACAGAGTGACTTCAAGAGTGTATCAGTCTGTAGTGGAAGGAAGGCGGGGTAGGGGTCGGCCTAGGAAAGGTTGGAGGGAGGGGGTAAAGGAGGTTTTGTGTGCAAGGGGCTTGGACCTCCAGCAGGCATGCGTGAGCGTGTTTGATAGGAGTGAATGGAGACAAATGGTTTTTAATACTTGACGTGCTGTTGGAATGTGAGCAAAGTAACATTTATGAAGGGATTCAGGGAAACCGGCAAGCCGGACTTGAGTCCTGGAGATGGGAAGTACAGTGCCTGCACTCTGAAGGAGGGGTGTTAATGTTGCAGTTTAAAAACTGTAGTGTAAAGCACCCTTCTGGAAAGACAGTGATGGAGTGAATGATGGTGAAAGTTTTTCTTTTTCGGGCCGCTCTGCCCTGGTGGGAATCGGCCAGTGTGATAATAATAATAATAATAATAAAAATATATTCTTCTTCTTTCAACACACCGGCCGTATCCCACCGAGGCGGGGTGGCCCAAAAGGAAAAAAGAAAGTTTCTCCTTTTACATTTAGTAATATATACAGGAGAAAGGGTTACTAACCCCTTGCTCCCGGCATTTTAGTCGCCTCTTACGACACGCATGGCTGACGGAGGAAGAATCCTGTTCCACTTTCCCATGGAGATAAGAGGAAATAAACAAGAACAAGAACTAGAAAGAAAATAGAAGAAAACCCAGAGGGGTGTGTATATATATGTGCTTGTACATGTATGTGCAGTTTGACCTAAGTGTAAGTAGAAGTAGCAAGACGTACCTGGAATCTTGCATGTTTATGAGACAGAAAAAAAAAGACACTAGCAATCCTACCATCATGTAAAACAAATTACAGGCTTCCGTTTTACACTCACATGGCTGGACGGTAGTACCTCCCTAATCAGACTAATTTTTCTTACCCTGGTACTCATTTAGAATATTAAACACTGCAATACAAATTCCTTTGTCTTCAAAACAGGGTGACCTAAAGAAGAAAACATTCATCACTTGCTCTCTAGATGCCTTTCCACAAAGGTGCAAATAGAGCTACATTGGTCATCTATACTGCAAAATCCCCATCCCACTTTTGAAGTGCAAGCAGTGTATTTTCCACTGCCTTTTCATATTTCAATATACTCAGTTCTTAAATTTTATATTAGTGTATATTCATTATACATATGCTGTACATTAAAATAAAAGGATGCATTTATAATGTAAAACAATAAATATTGAAATACACAATGAATAATTTCTAAAGATTTAAGTTCAACGTTAAGACAACTACCACAGCACAGAAAGCAAAATACACAAAATGCAGTGTGTGCTTTAGGCTAAATATCATGCAAGAAAATATAGGAAAGTTTGTTGCAGAAGAATAAAATAATTTGAGTAACCCATTACAGTGCTCTGGGTATTCAACTCTTAACTTTACATATCAATTATGTGAAAGTTATTTACATGTTGTACATAAATTCATCCACATATCAATATACATTATACAATGAATACATGTCTAGTTTTCTGCATGCCACTAACAATGGGTTTAGAAGATGAAACCCGATTTTTTTTATCCTATTCAATATGCATTAATTCTCATAAATGTCAGTCAATGTTTAGAAGTACTACACAAATCTAAGCTTAATCAAGACATTAAACACACTATGACAAGAAAATAATACAGCATAGCATCAATAATCTGATAAACAGTGGTTTGGAGCAAAAAAGGAAAAAAAAAGCATTTAACAATGAACAGCATTACAGTGGGATCATGACACAATAAACATTTCATATACAATTATAAGCAAGCAATAAAGTTACTTGGGTAGAATATGTATTGCAGACAGCATGCTTAATGCACAAAATAATCTGGACAACATAGAACACACTGGGCACATTAAGCAATATTTCAGAGCTCTGTACACAATAATTCATCCATCTGTTTATCAACTGTGATCTTTTTATCTATAACCTGCCCTACCCACCTGTTGAATGAAGTTAAATACAACAGCTAATTTGAAACACTGCTCCATTTTGGCTCTACCAGAATGACAGAATGATTTAAACAAGTGACACAGGACTTCAAGAGTAACTATGACAGGAATATCCATCATGAGCTTATGTGTTTGCCAGCATACACTGGATGCTAATAGTATCTACATGCTAAAATGGTGAGATACAGATCACTTGCTATCTGTTAAATAAGCCAAATGGAATGTATTTCAATAAAAATCTTAATTGGATATTAATGCACCTCAGTTAAAGTTATCATCATTGCTATTACTATTACTTATGCTAATTCCTTCATTCTTTTGTTAGTGTATTTTTTCACTGAAATCATAATGTCATTTTTTAAAAGCCTATTTTAGTTTTTAAGTTAAAACTAAATTATCTGTTTTGCCTGATCATTCAAGAATCATTACTAAAATTTTAGCAATATTTAAAATCATTCAGCATCTACATTCTTATCATTCTAGGTGACGATCCAGCAGCATATACACGAGCAACTAGATCAAGTGAATGAAGCAGAATACTGGAACTAGAGGCTTTGCAGAAAGATTCTTTATTGAAAGTTAGAAAGTACAATGCATATCTAATTGAGGTTATTTTTGACATTTCTAAAAGTCAAAATCTTCAACACATGGAAGATTCTATAAAAAATGATATTATCATGGTTTTTTTTATAACTGCAATGACAAAATAGGGAAAGAGGAATTAAAATAAGGACCCATTTTTTTTATTACCCAAGTAACACTGAACACTATTCCAATTATACTGTGCTAGGATCTTTGTGCTACATAAAATTTCCTAGTTTCAAATAGCTCTGGATGAAACACTGAATACACAGCATAGCATGAAGACATCCAAAACAACATCAGAGAAATGCACAACATTAATAACCCAAAATTTGTCTGAACAATACCTGCTGCATGGAAAATCACATCATTAACTGTACAACCACCATAGGGAACTTGCTCCATAAAAATATCAACTAGGTCATAATGGTTCGTAAATATGTACAGAGCCAGGGGTCTCTCTCTATAAGAAAAGAGAAGTATAGAGGCAAAAAATCAGTAACATACAGAATATCACTGATGGTAAATAATTCACTTAATTAAATACTGAGAAATAAAGTTAGCTGCCAAAATTGGTAATGGTGTTTAATATACTTATTCATTTAGAATACACACAATATATTTCACATGAAAAATATCAGTGAATATGTCCAAGAAAGGAAATCTATAGATACGTTCTAGGATGAGTCACGTCAAGACTATTGGATGCACAACCCACCTAAAGCTCAAAACTTCTTGTACCCCCTCCCTCCAACCATTCCCAGATTTATAGTCCTCTTCATCATTATATCCCTTTCCATCCTCTATGCCCAAAACAACTTAACAACCCCTCTTTATTATGTCATCATCAGTATTATTATACTAATTATTTTTTTAACACTTGCTGTCTCCCAGTGAGGTAGGGTGACCCAAAAAAGAAATAATTTCACCATCATTCACACTATCACTGTCTTGCCATAAGTGTGCCATTACTATAATTCACCACCCCCCTCTCCACCAGCTGCAAATATCCATGCTCCTTTAGAGTGCAGGCACTGTCTAACATGCTCACATATGCCTGCTGAATTTCCAATCCCCTTGCACAAAAAAACCTCCTTTATCCCCTCCCTTCAAACTTCCCTAGGGTGACTCCTACCCTGCCTTCCCTCCACCACAGATTTATACATCCTCCAACTCATCCTATTTTGCTGCATCCTCTCTAATGTTGAAACCAAGTCACTGACCCCTCTTCAGCTCTCTGGATAATACTTTTTATAACTCCACACTTCCTCCTAATCTCCAAACTACTATTTCTCTGCATACATTTCTCCATACATTGCCCTCAGACACATCTCCACTGCCTCCAGCCTCCTCCTCACTGCAATATTCACAACCCATGCCTCACACCCATAAAAGTGTTGGTATTACTATACTCATACATTCCCATCTTTGCCTCCATGGATAACATTATTTATCCCCACAGATACCTTGATGCATCACCCACCTTCCCTTCATCAATTCTATGGGTCACCTTGTCCTTCATATAGCCATCTGCCAACACGTCCACTCCCATATATCTGAGCACATTCACTTCTTCCATACTTCATCCTTCCAATCTGCTATCCAATGTTTCATTACCTAATTTGTTTGTTACCATCATCACTTTGCTCTTCCCTATGTCCACTTTTAATTTCCTTTCTTTACATAACCTCTCAAACTCATTTACCAACTTTTGCAACTTCTCTCCAGTCTCCCAAAAGCAGCATCATCAGCAAAAAGCAACTGTGACAACTCCTATTTTGTGTTAATTTCTGCATACATTAATCTCACACTTCTCACCAACACCCTAGCATTCACATCATTTACAACCCCATCTATAAATATATGCTAAATAGCCATGGTGGCACACATCACTAAGGCCTACTTTTACTGGAAAATAATCTCCCTCTCCTACATACCCTAACCTGAGTCTCACTATCTTCATAAAAACCTTAATTCGCATTCAGTAACCTACCACCTCTTCCATACATTTGCAACATGTCATATTGCTCCCCTATCCACCCTATCATATGCCTTTTCTAAATCCATGAAAGCAATGAAAGCTTCCTTACCTTTAAATATTATTCATTATATGCTTCAATGAAAACACTTGGTCTACACATCCCTACCCTTCTTAAAGCCTCCTTGTTTATCTGTGATCCTGCTCTCTGTTTTACCCTTAATTCTTTCAATAATAAGAATACCATACACTTTACCAGGTATACTCAAAAGGCTTCTTTCTTTCTTCTTTCAACGAACTGGCCATATCCCACCATGGTAGGGTGACCTAAAAAGAAAAACAAAAGCTTCTCTTTTTAAATTTAGTAATACAGTGGAACCCCGGATATTGGCTGATTTGTATTTAGGCCAGTTTTTGGGCGAAACTTTTGCTCTGTATTTCGGCCGGTGCCTCACAAATCAGCCATTTTTGTGCTTGTTTATAAAGTGCGACTGTGAAATAAGCCACCATGGGCCCAAAGAAACTTCTTAGTGCCAGCCCTTTGGGAAAGAAAGTGAGAAACACGATAGAATTGAAGAAAGAAATTGTAGCAAATTACGAAAGTGGAGGAGGAAGAGAGAGGGAAGAACGTGCCTTCTTCAGTGATTCTACGTACCGATACTAAAGCAGCAGGAGTCGATAAAGGCTATAGCGCCAGCCATTGATAAAGTATAGCATTAGCCCTTAAACCGTCCAAACAGATCGACGTTCAAATTCGTATTGCTACAAAAGTAGATCTACTTTTTTTTACATATTTTCAAATATAACAAAAAAAAAAAATGTAGATAAAAGTTTTTTTACACGTTTTCAAATGTAAAACAAAAAAGATCTACATTTTTTTTTACATACTTTCAGATGTTGAAAAAACATATACATACGTTTGGACCATTTAAGGGTTAACAGTGTAGCAAGTAAGTTAAGCGATAAAAAATGGACATGAAAGTAACTCCTCCAATGTTATTGGAGGTATATAGGGGTCACTGACAACACTGCCGTCATCACCACCACCACTATATGTGCGGCTTATGCTGCCAATGGCTCTGATAACCCAATACCACCTCACCACCACCATTCCTCACATACATAATGGCATATTTTATTCATTCTAGAGTGTATATCAGGTTTCTATGTTATTTATATTATTTATTATGTCATATTAGATCAATTGTGATAGATAAATAAGCCGAAGAGTTGATATTAGCGTCATATTGAAGGAGTATCTTCTCCTGCCTCCAAACACACTCTCCTTCTGGAATGGATCAATTGTATTTACATTAATTCTTATGGGAAATACTGCTTCGAATTCAGGCTGCTTCAAATTTAGGCCAACCTTCTGGAATGGATTACGGCTGATATTCGGGGTTCCATTGTATATACAGAAGGGGTTACTAGCCCCTTGCTCCCAGCATTTTAATTGCCTCTTACCACATGCATGGATTACGGAGGAAGAATTCTGTTCCACTTCTCCATGGAGAACTCGAAAGGCTTATTCCCCTATAATTTTTACACTCTGTTTAGTCCCCCTTTCCTTTATCCAAAGGAACTATGCACACACACTGCCAATCCCAAGGTACCTTCCCTTCTTTCATACATTTACTGAACAAAAATACCAACCAATCCAAAACTATATCCCCACCTACTTAACCCACTGCCTCATGCACCTCCAACACACTCACAAATGGCTGTTCCTCACTCCCAAAGGATATTATTGTTATATTCATGTAAACTGTTTAGTCAAACAACACCTATGGAATGAGAAGTAATCAGATCCTTTACCCTTGGATAGAGTGCCCTTCACCAGCATCACAGCAAAACCCTTGAAGAGAAAAATCTTAATATAACATGTTTAGAAAGAGTTGCCTGAAAGCTTTCTCACTGTGTTCAAGATTTGTAACACCACAAAAACATGTACTCAAGTATTATTAAGTTATAGTCAAAAATTTTTTACACTTGAGAAATTTCTGTAAAGAATGAAGATGACCTCAAGAAGCAGCTATAAGTAGAAAAACTAGAAGGAATGAAACAAAGGAATGACAAAGGCATGGCAAAGGAATGAAGCAAAGGAATGACAAAGGCACACACAAGGAAAAAACCAAATGGAAAACAATCTTGTTTTCATACAAAGTCTGGAGGCAGAGAGAATGAAACAGATAACCAACTAGTGTTGCAGTGTGTATTTGTGGGAAAAATTAAAGAGAATGACAAAGTCAATTGGTGGTGACTGGAGTAACAACCTGACAAGTAGGTATAAGACACACAAGGCCGAGCAATAATTTATTTCTGACATTTCGCTAAGTATTGAGCTTTTGATTATCCAGCTCCTTGAGATATCTCTATCCCAAGCAAAGTATTGTCTAGAATAGGGCTATTCAATTGGTGGTCTGCGGTCTGAATCTGGACCTTCTAAATATTCTAGATGGACCGTGGACTTTAGGAGAAAGCTTCGTTAAATAACAGCTGTTGCTACATTCACGATCAGGTGGTACACAAGATGAGGATTAATACATTATTCTATCTGAATGGAATGCATATATTGAATGGAATACAGTGGTATTCTAGCATAACTGAACAACTAAACAGTGATATTTTCTTCCATTCAATGGTAATTCATATTGGTATGTTGACTTTTTGGCATTTTGGAAAAAAGAGTTTAGCGGCATATGGTCTGGGAAGTCTGGTGACCCTGGTGCAGCTTTTAATTTCGGGAAAAGTTGTGCTTTTGTGTTTGTGCAAAGCATGATTTCGGGTTTTCTCATTTTCTTTTTAGCAAGTTTGATTTTAATTTGCTGTGCCAACCTCTGTTATGTTAGTACTGAATCGTGTTGTAATCAAATTCTTCACATCAATGTTTGAGTAAAAAAAATCCAAAATTTGTTCGATATAATGTAAAAATTATTTTTCCCCACTATTTATCTTCATATTTTGTAAATTTTTGTAAGATGAAGACTGAAAATGAAGTTCATAGAAAATTATGTATACACTGCCCTATACTAGGATTTGTTGCTTTTCATAATTGCGTGTAAAAAATGTATCCAGACCTCTGCATGCATTGGTACTTGTCCAAGTGGACCTTTGCTCATGGTAGTTGAGTAGCTATGGTCTAGAATTAAAACTTGCTCTGCATTATGTGCCATTATACCCCAAAATTGACTAGTCTACTTTCTGCATACGTAAACTGCATACAATATTCACAACAGTCATTCAGCATCTACAAACAAATAGAAATTATGAAACAACTTATAAGAAAGGTAAGCAGATGTTGCAACCATCTGCTGTTTCAGCCAATGTGTCATCTGTACATCTTGGTCCAGTCCATAGTGTACTGCTCCATCAAAATGTTACTAGGTTTCTCTTGCTCACACTCACCCTGGTGCTTTCTACAACCTCATTTTTCATTGTAAGTGAATGAGAGTAAAGATACAGCAGTGGCTTTGTCATCTTCCAGG